CCCAAACATGATCGGTGGAAATAGGCGGATAAACGTAAGGCCCAGAAGAAAAGTGGGGGGGTGGGTGGGAGGAGCAGGGAGGAGAAAAAAGGCCGGGAGGAGCACAATTATCTCAGAGGTTTCCCAACAGAAAAGACGTTTTGCAAGGCTGTGGCAATAAGACAGTGGAAATCAAGCGGCTAGAGAGTCCCCCCCCCCACCTACACACCCCCAAAAGACGTTTATTTGGGATGGCGATGGGGGGGAAAATACGGAGGCCTTTTATTTATTTATTTTTATGGGGGGGGGGGCGCTAATGAGTGCATGGCGTGTCTTGTTAGCACCCTCAAGGGGAGACGCCGGCTTCTAACTTTGCTGTTTTCTCTTCAACGCCTCCACCAGGTCGTTCTTCAGAGCTTCCTGCTTCGATTTGTCCGCAAACGTCTGCACAGACCTGGGGGGGGGGGGGGAAAAGGGGGGGGGGGGGGGGGGGGGTGGGGGGGGGAAGGGGGGGGGGGGGGGGGGCACCCCCCTTGGGGCGGACGGGGGCGAGGCCGCCCCCCCCCCCCAAAGCAGCATCTCCAGCACACGTCCGGTAGCGCCTTCCCCACGATTCGTAACCAGCTCCCCCGTTCTCCGGTTAGCGCATCGTTAGTAGCATTTGGGGAGGGTGGAAAGGTCCGTGGAAGTAAACTCCAAGCGGTGGTTAAAGGGAGGGCTTTTAACGGCAGCCGGGCCGAGGGTGGGGACGGGGGTTTTCGTGGTGGTTCCAGGGTTGCAAATTGCGCGCAAAACCACACACACACACACACACACACACACACACCCACGCACGCCGAGGCCCGCGGCGGTCACATTCTCAAGTGCAAAGGGAATTCCACACCGCAAGGCAAGGAGAGCAAACTTTAAAAGGTTACCGGGAGGCTCCCTCTGTCCTTTTCCTTAAACAACGACAACGACGACAACAACAGGACTTGCAAGAATTAGGGAGGTTAGTTGGTGCGAAGCCCGAATCCTCCATGCTCTCAAGTCAACGTGACTGTTTGGTGTTTTAGTGCCGAGGTGCCCTTTGTAAGCCAGTTTCAGCATTGGGGGGGTGGGGGGGAGGGGGGGTGGGGGGATAGGTGTACCTGGGCTGCTTTAGTTATCTGGCTGAATGTACATCTGGCGCTGGGTCAGAACCTGGGAGAGCTCCCTCTGCAACTGCTTATATTTTTGGTTGTCGGGGATAGCGTCAATTGATCTGGAGCGAAGCAGGGGTGGAGGCGGAAGAGGGAAGGCCCAAGGAAGGAAAGAAGAGGTCAGACAAGTCGGCAGAGAGAGAGAGAGAGAGAGAGAAACACACCACGAGGAGGAAAGGCGGAGGGGCTGGGAGGGGTGGAGAGCAGGAAAGGGGAAAGGAGAAACGGAGGGGGAAGAGCGGTTGGGAGTCTCCCGGTGCCAATTTTGCAGACGAAAAGAGAGAGAGAGACAGAGAGAGAGAGAAGAGAGAAGAGAGAGAGAAGAAAGAAGAAAGAGAAGAAAGAGAGGTGAGAGAGGGAAAGAGAGGAGAGAGAGAGAAAGAGAGGAGAGAGAGAGAAGAAAGAGAAAGTGAGAGAGGGAAAGAGAGGAGAGAGAGAGGAGAGAGAGAGAGAGAAAGAAAAAGAAGGAAGGAAGGAAAGGAAGGAAAGGAAGGAAAGGAAGGAAAGAAAGAAAGAAAGAAAGAAAGAAAGAAAGAAAGAAAGAAAGAAAGAAAGAAAGAAAGAAAGAAAGAAAGAAAGAAGGAAGGAAGGAAGGAAGGAAGGAAGGAAGGAAGGAAGGAAGGAAGGAAGGAAAGAAAGAAAGAAAGAAAGAAAGAAAGAAAGAAAGAAAGAAAGAAAGAAAGAAAGAAAGAAAGAAAGAAAAGAAAAGGATGCCAGTAACCCTTCATCCTCCGGAGCCTTTCTTCCAACGTGTGTTCCCGACAAACCATCAACTCCTCCTCTGGCTCTAGCAGGTTTAAACTGGAGTAGCGGCCACCGAAGGCCCAGCGGTGGCACCATCAGGCCCAGCAGGGCAACTCTGCTATGGGCGATGCGGTCAAGTTTGGAAGGGAAAAAAAAGGGGGAGGGGGAGGGAGAAGATTTTGGGGAGGGGAGGGGTGTTGGTGGAATCCGAGGCCGCCTTTTTCCAAGCCGAAATAGGCCCCCCTTCTGGCTGAGGGACTGACGGGATTACCCAACCCATCCTTCTGAACCAGCCAATCGAGGGCAGAACTGACCAGGAGAAGGCGGAAAGGGTTAATGGAAGGCAGGCCTGTCAATCAATCTGGGGGGGGAGGGAGACAAATTTCACAGAATAGCAGGAGTTCTTCTAGTCCAGCCCTCCCCCCCCCTGCTCAAACAAGGAGACCCCAGGCCAGAGGTCTCCAAACTTGGCCACTTTAAGACTTGTGGACTTCGACTCCCAGAATTCTCCAGCCAGCAGAGCTTTCGGACAGGGGGGAGATTGGGGAGGAGCATGGGCCAGTCCCGGAGGCTGAGGAGGGCTCGGACGAGGGCTCTGCGTCGGAGGCAGAGATGGGGCCAAGGCTATTGACATTAGCCGCCTTCGGAGTTGGGGATCAGTGGGGAAGAAGAACAGCTGGAGCCTGTTCCCAGTGTGCGCATGCGCAGAGCTGCTAGGAGAAGGGAACAGTTAAGGAACAAGGTTCGACTCGGGAGTAAAGGCTCAGGTGGACGGTGAATGGAATGAATAAAGAGGAGCGAAAGGGGAGGGATGTGTTTGCAGGAGACAATTCTGGGAGTTGAAGTCCACAAGTCTTAAAGTGGCCAAGTTTGGGGACCCTGGCCCTTAGAGGCCATTTTCGACAAATATATATATATGTGTGTGTATATAATAAATACGACCACAGCACTGCGGTCCATCCATTGTTACCTCAGCCCGTTGACAATGTCCTTTGTCTTTCCAAAATAAATCTCATTCAGCGTACTTCTGATTTTATTCTCCATGTCCTAGAAGGGGAGAGAGAGAGAGAGAGAGAGAGAGAGAGAGAGAACTCATGGTCACAGTCCTTGACTTATAATGGATAGTCCTTGACTTACAACCTTGTGTCTAGTGGCCACTGGAAGTCACAAACAAGCATTGAAATCATCGCCCACCATCCAGTCAAGAGCCGAAGAAGCTCCTTGGATGAGAAGCGGAAGGCCTGGTTGTGGGAACTTGATCCCTGGAGGCTTTTTCAAGGGGAGGCTGGACTGCCATTTGGATGGGGAGGGTGTAGGGCCGTGAGGGTGGACCTACGGCAAGCGAGCCCCAGGCAGACTTACCTCACTGCGCAGGCGGGATCCTCCTCCCAGCTGGTTTTTCCAGGCCTTTTTCAGCCTTCCTGTGAAACGGGCCCATTTTTCGTCCTGCAAAGGCTGCAGAGGCTTCCCTCAAGCCTCTGAGAGGCCGAAAATCAGCTGGGAGGTGTCCTAGATAAGGGGGCAGTGGGGGGATCGCGCACGCGTGCGCAGGGGGTGGGGTGGGCTGGGCTGCGCGCATTGTCTTCTGGGTGCTGGCACGCGAATGCGTGAGTGCAAGCACGCACGCAATTTTTGGCACAGGAGCCCCAAAAGATAAGCCACCACCGGTGTAGGGTCTCCTGCCTGGGTGGGGGGGGTTGGACTAGATGACCTGCAAGGTCCCTTCCAACTTATGTTATTCTGTTGTTATTCAGAAGTGGCGGGAGCTTCATCACTGGAAGTTTTCAAGAAGAGACTGGACTGCCATCTGTCGGAAATGGTGTAGGGTCTCCTGCTTGGGTGGGGGGGTTGGAGTAGATGACCTACAAGGTCCCTTCCAACTCTGTTAATCTATCATCCCAAGGCCCTGAGATTTTAGACAGGAGACAGGGAGAAGCATTAGACTAGCCCATGGAGGGAGAAGCTCCCCATACCTTTAGCTCTCCCCCACCCAAGAGACACCCCCCCCCGCAAGGTCTTCCGGTCTCCTGTGAGGCCCATGGAGAGCATCTACTCAACCCAACTGGAGCCATCAACTCCATGCGGCCTATTCTTACATCCTTCCTATTCTGTAACGGGAGTTTTAATCTAATTCCTATTCTTCTGTAACCTCCCAGCCAGCCTCCTCGGGGCATTTCTTAAGAGAGAAATTCCAAGCTCTGCTCGGAATCCATTTGGCAGAATCGTAGCCTTTCACGGTATGGAACAGGGAATTAAACAGAGGGAACCCCGCAGCTCAAGATGTCCATGTTAACTGGTCAGGTGTGGTAACTGCACCTCCTAAAAGGATGCAAATGACCAGCTGTCTGCGAGGAGTGTCAATCCTTCCAATTCCCCACCGTCCAGTGAGGGCTGAGGAAGCTTCTTGGATGAAAAGCGAAACATCTCCCAAATAAAATACCAAGAAAAGTCCAGTTGCCTCCTGGAAAAAAAAAAAGCGCCTTCGGGACAACCAGGACCTGGAGGACGGGGAATCTCTACAGACTTTTATTCCATACAATTTGGGATGAACCCCCTTGGAATGACGTGGGAATGGGAAGGGGTTTCCAGGGGGAAAAACTGCAGATTAGGGGAACCAGGAGCACCACTCAGGTGACCCTGAGGACACAGAGAAACCTCCAAGTGGCCTCAAGGACCCTCGGAAAGGATGCAAACGACCAGCTGTCTGCGAGGAGTGTCAATCCTTCCGTTCCCCACTGTCCTGTTCTTGGAGGAGAAGGGAAACGTCTTCAAAAGAAAAACAAGAAGGGCCCAGCGGCCTGGAAAAAAAAACCCCCATCTGGAACAACCCCGACCTGGATGGCTGAGAATCTCCACCGACAGTCAGGTGGGGTCTCGGCCACCAGGGGGCAGCAGGCAGCTGCAAAAACAAAGGGGGCCTATTCCCCCCCCCACAGCTGTCCGGCGTACATTTTGAGGAGCGGCTGCCCAAATTTCTGATCACCCAGGCATTGCCTCGAGGGGGGGAATGGACCAGCCTCTCCACCTTCCCCAGAGCAGGAGAGCAAGGAGGAACGGGGCAAGGGCCGAGACTGCTTAGCCACGGCTTTCAAAAGCATCGGGTTTGGGGAACTGGTACCCCCAAACCTGCATCTTTCGCATCCGATGCCCCTCGAAGGGAGAAGGCCCGTCTCCAGCAAGCAATGAGGAGACCTTGAGAGGCGTAAAAGGAGCATTTTAAGGCCAGGGCACCAAGAAGAAGCTTTTTCCCATCCACCCACCCCTTCCGGATCTTCTCCAAAGTTTAGTGGCAACCTCCCTATTTCCTTCCCTAGGCCCTTGGGGTAAAGTAGTGGCAGGGAGAGGGAGGTCCAAATAAAACACTACAATCTCTCTTCAAACACACACACACACACACACACACACAGGTGGGCACCTCCTCTGGCCTGCCGACCAGCCTGCCCCTCCGTTTGCAATTCACTCTGCAAAAGGGGTGAAGATATGACGGTTCAGACGCCCCAGAGAGGCCTAGAATCCGAGAAGTACTTTCAGTTTATCGATGGATTATTGATGGGTTGGATTGATATAGCCACCTATGCGCCCACGGCGACAGGAGGCGGCTCACAGGATGTGAAACCATATTTAAAACAAGAAAAAATGACACTTGGGGGGGGGGGGGAATCACCCCCACCCCCAATTCCCAATTCCCATCCAATTGCATGGGCTCCATCCCTCTCTGGGTTCCCCAGACCCGCTGGCAGAACCAGGTCGTCTTCTTCAGGGCCTTCCGGAAGAGAGCTAGAGTGGGGGCCGTTCTAATCTCTGGGGGGCGGGGCGGGGATGAGGTTTCAGAGAGAGAGGGAGCCACCACGGAGGAGGCCCTGCTTCTGGGTCCCACCAGGTATGTATCCCTCGGGGGTGGGACCCCCAATGTTCCCTGCCTCCCTGCTCTGATGGGTCGGGTGGATGTGACCGGCAAGAGTCGGTCCCTCATCAGGTAACCTGTGGCCTACTAGCCAAACCCGAGGGTCAGAGGTTAGGAGCCAAGGAGGCACCTCCACCCCATTTCCTGAGCCCACGGTCTTGGGGGAGGGGGAGGAGGGCGTTTAGAAAGGAAACCACCACCACCACCCCCATCACAGGGTGGCTTACCTCAACCAGACGGCCGATATTGGCTATATGCGGAGAGGAATCGCTCACCGTTTCGTCTTTCTCCATCTGGGAAGGAAGGAAGGAAGGAAGGAAAAAGGCTGAGGAAGAGGAGGAGGAGAAGGACACCTGCAGAGCCTCGCCTGCCCAGGGGTCAGCAGAAGCGAGGCTGGGGCCCACCCGAAGGGAAACGGCCAGTCATCCCAACCCACGTACAGAAACAAGATGGAGGGGCTTATCGGCCTTCTGACGGGGGGGGGGGGGGGGGAACTAGTGGGTCACGGCAGACCAAGATGGAGCAGAGGGTCTTCTCTGCCCCCCACCCCACTTTCCAGAAAGGCCAGGCAAGGAATGTTCCTGCCACGGGAGGTCCTGGGAAGGAGGGGGGGTGGGAGCCATCGCAGGGACGGGGCACGTAATCTAATCAGCGTGCCTTCCAGGCAAGACAATGCCCTGCGGGTAGCTGGGTGCCAGCTCCAATTAGCCGGCCCCGGTCCTACGTCTTCGTTTTTTTATTTTATTTTATTTCAAACACACAAAAGGGAGGCAGGAGGAGGGAGGTTCAGGCCTTTGTTTTGGTGGGTGTGGGTGATGGGGAGGTGGGAGGAGAGGAGACAGGGAAGGGATTTTGGGGGGGGGGGGGGGCGGGGGTTGCGCTTGGGGGAGTCTGCAACCTTCCCCGGGGACTCGGGGCCCAGAGGGGGGGGGCGCCCCCCCCTCCCCACCCTTTAAGAACAGGGCACAGGTGTCCCCCCAAGTTCTGAACTGGAAGCAGCAGGGATGGGGAAGAGAGGGGGGGCAGAAAGACCCACCGCAGATGAGAGATGGGGAGAGAGAGAGGAGGTTGAGGTGCTGACAACGGGGAGAAGATGGGAGAAACTACAGACGTGCAACAGCTGTTTGGTGCAAGGCAGGAGGGAGAGAAGGGAGGATTCGATCCTGGGAAGCACCCCAAATTTGAGAGGCATCAGCCGAAGCGGCCTTGAGCGGCTTCCTCCCTTTTTCATGACCTTCACAGGCTCCTTCAGGAGGTCCAGAGTGAGGCCTGAGGGGAGCAAGAACTACCTGGTTCCACGCAGAGTCTGGGCAGAAACTCTATAAATCTACCACTCTATGAACACCTTGGCGTAAGACCACACCTGGAATACTGCCTCCAGTTTTGGTCACCACACTCTAAAAAAGAGGTTGAGGCTCTAGAAAAAGTGCAGAGAAGAGCAACCAGGAGGATGAGGGGACTGGAAGAGAAAAGATACGATGAACGGTTGCAGGAACTGGGCCTGGCTGGTCTAGGGAAGAGAAGGACCAGGGGAGACAGGATGGCAGCCTTCCAAGATTTGTGGGGCTGCCACAGGGAGGAGGAAGGGGGGTCAAGCTATTCTCCAAGGCACCCGAAGGCCAGACAAGGAATAATAATGGATGGAAACGGATCAGGGAGAGATTCAACCTGAAAATAAGGGAGGAATTTCCTGACAGTGAGAACAATCAACCAATGGAACAGAAGTTGCCTTTGGAAGTTGTGGGAGTTTCATCCCTGGAAATTTTCAAGAAGAGACTGGACTGCCATTTGTCAGAAATGGGGTAGAGCAGGGGGGGTTGGACTAGATGACCTTCAAGGCCCCTTCCCACTCTGATTTCTCTGTACCTGTCGGGTGAGGCTGCCTCCGAGGTTCATGGTGCCCGAGCCGGTCTTATTCGTCTGCAGCCACAGCATCACCGTAGAGGTCAGCTTGTAGTGGGCAGTGCGGCCACTGGACTTCTCCTGTGGGGAGAGAGAAAGGTCCGTCCCACACCGGCTCCCCCCTCGGAGCTTCTCCACGGACCGGATTTCTCTGCCGGCCACAGCAAAGCACCCGTGGCCCTCCGAGGACGTCGGGGAGCAAAGAGGCACAGGGGTCCCTTCTGTTTCCGCAGCCTCCCTTCCTCCTTTCGACAGGGGGGGGGGGGGGGGGGTTCACCAATACTTAACGGGGGTCCTTTCCCCATATTAAGGAGGGGAAGGGAGGAGGTGCTGTCTTGGGCGGGGTGGGGTGGAGGACACGTGGAATTAAGTCCACCAGGCTACCATAACACCCCAGGGTTTGGCCGAGCGCCTCTTGCTTGCGGCTCTGCCTGGAATCTAACTAGGTTTGCCTCTCTTTTCCTACTCTGCGCAGGGATCTCTGTCTTTCTCCCCACCTGGGAGAGGGAGGGAGAGAGGGAGAGAAGAGAGAGAGAGAAGAGAGAGAGAGAATGGGAGAGAAGTGAGACAAG